TGGACTTGGCTTAAACAATGTGCTGCACATCTTATCTTATTCATATGCTACGAATATTTTGACATTTACTTTTGAAGACTTGAAAAACATTATTATGTCCCTCTTAAAAAATAAAATCATTATATTCTTAAAGCACGCGGAAAGGTATGTAAATATTTTTTTAGAGTACAATAGATATCCCCAATTTGTGGCGGATAAAAGGGAAAGCAAATGCCAAACTAGGCACCATCTTTATCCTCGATGTTTTTTTCCTGCACCAAGTTCATGATATTTTAGTAAGTGCAGAAGTATTTCATCTAATGCTCAATTTTTTATTTTCATTTTTATTTTTATTTATTTATCTTTATTTTTTGCTGAAATCATCTAATGCTCAAATTGCTGAAAAAAAGGTGCTCACCAGAAAAATTAAAATGCAGGAAAATTTTTCCAGATAATACTCCTGACAAATCACGTTTTCTGCAATACTATAATGTGCTAATGCGAGACTCTGGTAACAAGTGTTCCTAAAAAGATCTTGCCTTTTGTTTTAAGGATTGAAGTTATTTTTACATTCCAGCCTTTTTATGTTAATGTGTATATATACATGTATTATTTTAGCTTGAGATAGTGATAGTGTCATATTTGTAGGGGATAGGGATATTATCATTTGTGAGGTAATAAATAGAATAAGCTGATTCTAGACAGTTTATTACTGTTAGATCGGTAAAACTATCCTTGTAGCTAAAGTAAAGACTTGAGTTGCCATTTTTTAGAGGTAGGGTTGGCAATTTAAGTCACAACATGACAATACGACTTGAAATCAATACGAAATTAGAGGGTATGAGTTTGTCTTAATTGAGTTTGGATTAAAATGGGTTGAACCCTCCAACACGATTAAATAAAAGGTCAACACGACACGAGTCTTCCAACATGAAATTAACCCGCAATAACATATTTATTAAACATGTCATAAATATATTAAAACAAATACAACACATTATAGACCTATTTATAATATGTTTTATAAACATATGTAAAAATTGATCTTGTTTTCTTGTGTTTGATTGTTGTTTATTGTTTTAATACTTTGTTTTGTTATTTCAAGTTTAATAAGTTGTTGATTTTTTTTTTTAATTTCTTTTGTTTTTTTAAGCTTAAAAAATGGATTTCAATAAATAAGTTGTAAATATGTTTTAGGTTAACACGACACGGTAATAACTTATTTAGTAAAAGAGTTAGCCGTGTCGTGTTCGTATCAACCCTTTAATTAAGGAGTCGTATTTAGGTTTTATCTTCTGATACGATTATTAAATGGGTCGAATTCGTATAAAAAATATAATGTTAACTAAGTGGCATGACATGACATGAACCCAATCCGAATTGCCAATCCTATTTAGGGGTTATATAACTTATATTCCTTTTAGTCTGCTTTTGATGTTTGGTTTATGTCGTTTTGATCATTACTATTTTAGTATGAAAATTTTGAAATGTATTTTAATTGCATTGGTCTGGATGCCGAGAATATTAATTTTTGGCTTTCAGGGATATTGATAACAAATATATCAATTTAGTTTCAATGTTTAAAAAATTTTTGAATAATTTTTTAGAATTGGAATAGTGATACCTTAATGTCATATATTTAGGAAATTTGATTCCTAAGAATGCATTTAATTATAATCATAAAATGTGAGTAGCACATGCGTTTTGTTTTTCTCAAATTTAAATACCATTATTTGTTTAAAGGAAAAAAAAATCAGAAATACCATTCAAGATAGTAAAAAGTATTATTTATGTCACTTCATTTAAAAATAAACGATTGTCATTCAATTAATAAAAAAATAAAATATCATAATGATACTTAATTATTTAAAATGACATAAATAATAAGTTTCTATAAAACTATGACAAACAATGTATTTGTCTCTTTTTTAAATAAGAATAAAAAATTATAGGCATGGATGACCACATGACCGTCAAGCCCGAGGCTAATTACGATTAAGGCAATAGGCGAGCAGAAAAACGAGATAAGGAATGAAATTTGTTAAAGGAGTAAAGTTTGTAATCCAAATCTTATAAATAAAGGGATGTTTTAGGAGATAAATCCCGCGAATCAAGGTGAGATTATTCTTAAGAAAATAGAGATAATGATCTCATTAAGAGTAATTGTCCAAGTGAGGTATAAATAGGAGATTAAGCTCCTAGGAAAACCTTAAGTTTCATCCACTAGACTAGGAGTAAATAGAGCATGCAATACCTTTGTCTCCAAATAGTGAAAAACTCTAACTAACCCATAATGAAAATTGCTCTTAAATAGAGTATAAATCACTCTAAATTTTTCGGTATTCATTTATTTTGCGCATTTAATTCTGTTCATTCCTCAACAATTAATATATTAATTTCACAGTGAGCTAAGGGTTTCTAAGAATTTTTTATTAACGAATTTTAACTGCCAACAATTAAGAACGGTAATGTAAGTACACACCCAAATTCACTAGAACGTTGTGAAACCTCAACGATATTTACATTACATTAATATTATATTTTCTTAACTTATAAAATTGGAGCAACTGAAGGAATTAATTTTATATTTTTTTTTAAAAAATATACAACTTTTGGATCTCCTCTAGATTTTTCAAAGAAAAAAGAAAAGTAAAAATTACACTATATGGAAAATTTATTATGATGGGGTTGAAATATAGGATTTTTAAAAAAAATATATTTTAAGATTGGAAAAAATCATATAATAATTATTTTAGTGATATTATCTTAATTATTTTAGTGATATTATCTTAATGATGTTCATATTTGTATCACAAAATATCGTTACTTTTTTTTTGTTTATTTTTTTATACTTTTGGACCGGGCTTTGTCATTTAAGGCCGTGAAGTAGTCCAAAACATGATGGGCTTACGGGCAAAAACACTGTAGTCAACGGAGAGACAAAAAAAACAGTTGACTAAATGGAATGACGAGTAGATGACGAGCTCACACGTGCTTATTCTGGCTTGAAAGTTTTCAGAGCATCAAATTTCTCACCTGAGTGGTGGTCCCCACCTTCCAACAACTCCAACTCGGATGAATCAATCACAGCCGTCTGTTCAATATTCCATATCCCGAAATTGCCGTTCCCAACCCACACCTCTTTCTACGACATGCAGTTCTGACGACAAACCCCGGGTTTCCCAACGACCTCTTTTAATTTGCATAATTAAAAAAAAAACAATTTTATTTAATTGTCAATTTTACTCTCTCATCATGCCAATTTGCGAAAAAAGCAGCTCGAAAATCGAAGATTTCATCTCAGAATAGTCAGACCCGTTTATAGATTTCTCCGTTGAGCTGTCGTTTTCTCTCTCTCTCTTCTTTTTATTTTTCTTTTTGCCTTTTCTTTCACCTTTTCACACACTTCAGCGGCTACTTGTACAACTTTTTCTAGCTTCAGCAGAGTCTAGTAAGAGCTTCTTTATTTGTGGCCAAAAGTTTGCTGGGAATCTGAATTCCGATCGAAACTCAGTCGAATCCGATTATCTTTGAGTTACAGAAGTTGGGTTTTGCTTTTGAAGGTGTGAGTTCTCAAACCATATTTTTTCTTTTTCTCATTTCTGTTTTGTTGATAGATTCTGCGACTGTTGTTCTCAACAGAGTGATTGGTTTGCTTTGAAAATTAAAAGCTTTTTGAATTGGGTTTGGCTTGGGTTGTTGTTTGAATTTAGCACATTGTTGGTTTTCTTCCTTTTTGATTGATTATTTTTGGTTTTCATTGTGGGAATTTCTGTTTGGTAATGCGTTATAAAGCAAGATTCTCCCTCCGTCTCTCTCTCTCTCTCTTGTAAACGTTAATACTATTTGCATTGAAACATACCTTTTTAACAAATAATTGAAGTAATCAGGAATCAAGTTCTCTGTTTTTGTTTTGTTTTGTTTTGTTTTTTCCATTTTTGTTCGACTTAAATGGACTTGGTAAACTGTTGATTCGTTTCCCTTTATTGTCTTATTTCCTTCTTATTTTCTCACTATCTTTTCAGTCACGAAAAAGGAAAAGATGCTGTTTTTTTTTCCTACAGGATCAAAATAAATAGAGAGAGAAAGAGAGCAGGGAAAGGAGAAGAAACACTTTTGAGTCATTTTTTTAAGTGTCACAGCTTTCACTTTTGGCACAGAAATGTGTGAATGCGAATCACTGAATTTGCATTAACATCTTTGTGATTTTTTTTTTTTGGTGTGCAATGTCATTTGAATGAAAGGTGGCGACCAAGCAATGAGAAATTAGAGAAAAGGTGCGGCGAAAAAAAAAAGAAATAAAACCTCAAAGGAGAAAATGAACAGAGAGAGAGCAACATTTCTGTATTTGGAAGAAGTTCACAATTTCCATGGTACTGATGTGGGATATTATTAACCAAATTTTTTTTTTTTAAATTTTTTTCCCTCCCATCATTTTTGGGAAGAAGTTCACAATTTCCATGGTACTGATGTGGGATATTATTAACCAATTTTTTTTTTTTTAATTTTTTTCCCTCCCATCATTTTTTCTTTATTACCTCAAATGATGAATCGTGCTTTAGTCTTTATATAAGCTTCAAATGTGCAGAATATAAATTGTGTTTCATCACTGTCTAGCAATCATTTGAGAGATTAAGCTTTTGGCTTATCAAAGATGGTGACAAAAAGGCATTTATATCAATCAACGCACGCATTTGGTGGTTATTGTAAGCGTTTCCTCTTTCTTTCTTTCTTTTTTTCTCAAACCAACTAACAGATTTCTCTCACTTTGATTATATCAATCAGAGTGTTTTCTCTGCTAACCTTTTTTTTTTTTTTTAAATAAGCATTTGAGGCTATTTCTGGCAGCTCATGGAAAAGGGCAGAAAGTTTACTTATCAGGAATGGAACTATGACTTTGAATTTTGTGGACAATCCACGTGTGATTCAGGAGAGAGGTCCCTCTGTGAACCTTAGGATAAAATCAAGAGAAGCTACATTATCTGATTGCACATGCTTTTTGAGGCCTGGCATTGATATATGTGTTCTTTCACCCTCCCAAAATGAAGAGAGTTTGGATAAAGAAATACAAGAACCTGTGAGTTTTTAGGGAATTCTTTGACCCTATTTTGTGTTCTATTCATAATGCATTACTTTTTGTCTTATCATAATTGAGTAGGTAATGTGCTTACCTTTTCTTTTAATGTTTATGTTGCTTGTTTGGTTCAAAATTACTGATGCTGAGATATTTTGGGTTCGTTTGGTACTGTTTTCAAATTGGTATTGTTTTGTGTAGGAATATGGAAATGATAATTTTTTGGAAATGCTGTTGAAACTGTTTTTGAAATTGCGTTTGGTTATTTTTTGTTTTTTGAGAGATTGTTTTGGTATAAGAAAAAAGTAAAACTTCGTTTTTGTATGTCTTTTAATACGTGTATTAAGTTATAGCCTTAGAAAACGAAATCGGAAATGTGAAAACAACTTTCAACCATTTTCCATTTTCTTAACAAAAACCATTCTCACAAAAGACGTTCTCGTTTTTAAAGCATTTGCTAACCAAACGTGATTTAGAAAACGTTGTCGTTTCCGTGCCTCAAAAGACAAGCAGAAATATTTTCAAAAACAATTGATAAGTTTTTGATGATTTATTTCTGTTACAGGATTGGATTGATGGTAGAATAAGTTCCATTGAGAGGAAGCCTCATGAATCTGGATGCTCATGCCAGTTTTATGTTAACTTCTATACCAACCAAGGTTCTCTTGGTGCAGTGAGAGAAACACTAAGCAAAGAGATTACCGCAATTGGAATTGATCAGATTTTCATCCTTCAAAAGCTCGGTTTGAACCCTTGTGAAGATAAGCACTACAGATGGGAGTCCTCTGAGGACTGCCCTTCAAGGCAAAAAACTAAACTGCTTTTAGGGAAGATTTTAAATGATCTTTCATGGTTACTCGTTACCTCTTCTTTAAAGAGAGTTTCATTCGATGTAAGATCAGTGCAAAATAAACTTGTATATCAAATTTTGCGAGGTGTTGAAGAAGACACTTCATCAAGTTCTCATAGTAATCTACATGCTGTGAACTTTAGAGTGGACAACGGTGTTTTGCTACCTATTGTCATTCAATTCCTCCCTGATGACTCTAACATGATAGTTCCTAAATGTGACATAGATGAAGCTGGACCATCACCATTTTCCGACTCTATAGGCTTGCGTCGTTCCAAACGTCGAAACGTACAACCTGAGCGTTTTCTTGGCTGTGATAGCGGGTCAGAGATAGATATTGGCTATGTCCGTTCAAGGCCATACAGGGTAGACAGAGGAGAAGATGATGAAATGAATTTGCCATTATCATGCCTTTTTGGTGTTAAGGCAATTTGTGACAAGCCGCATACTGACAAACCGCATACTGTCCAAGGAAAAAAGAGAGGTCGTCCTCGCAAAATAGATTTCTGTGTGAATCAAAGAGAAAGCGAGATCACAGAGAGGAAGGAGAAATCAAGTGGGAAAAGGCGCAAAGAAGATCAATGTGAGCTAGCTATTGTGCCTTTTACAGAACAAACCGATCCGCTTTCCTTTGAGTACTACCAATTCCAAGCCAGGAATCCTCCAGATCATGAAAAAGAGCTTGATGAAATTTCTCCCGAGCTTTTTTACATTAACAGCAGCGCAAAAGTAAAGAAAAAGAGTAGTTACGATTCAGAAGATTTGGATATAGACACTACATGGGAAACAAGATCATTCAAGAAAAAGCCGGTATCGAAGAAAAGGTCACATTTTGTGCGATTTAAGAGTTCAAGTGGAGAAAGAATTTATCAGAAACGGTCCTTAAGTGCAGGCGCATACACCGAACTGATAAACGAATACCTCCAAAACATTGATTGCACTGGCAAGGAAGAGCCCCCTATCACTGAGCAGTGGAAAGAGAATAAAAAAACAACAGACAACTTGTATCCAAGTAACACTGAAGTACCACTAGAAGAGGAAGAGGAAGAGATGTCAGAGATTGACATGTTGTGGAAAGAAATGGAACTAGCCTTGGCATCAATTTATGTGCTTGATGAAAATGAGGTAGAATTGTTAGTTTTTCCATTTCCTCTGATCCTTTTTTATGAAATTATCAGTCATGGACTCTCTCTCTTTCTACAGTTATATGTTTGTGTTTCAAGATTGCTAGTTTAGAGTAGAATAAAAACTCTTGTGAACAATGCAGAATCATTTATGTTGTCTTCAAGTTATGTTCCTTTGTTTGGAAGCTTAATTGAATCTGATAAAACTATTTTAATTAGGGTTCAAATGGTGTGTCGAGTGCAAAGGCAAAAGCGTCGAATGGAGGTTGCCTACATGACTACAAAGTGGATGAAGAGCTCGGTGTTTTGTGCGTTATATGTGGCTTTGTTTTGACTGAGATAAAAGATGTTTCACCACCCTTTGTAAGTCCTTTCACCTTTCATAAACTCCTAAATAGAAACATTTTGTTTTTTTTTTAATTTTATTTTGTTTTTATTTTTAAGTCTTACCTTCCTTTTAGATGAACCAAGGAAGACTTTTGACATTCTCATGCTGTTTCTTGAGCTTAATACTTATGAGATGAGGATTTTTTCTCGATTTCATTGCATTTACAAATATTGATTTAGGTTGATCTGTAACCATAAATGGGAATCATTTGCTTCTGCATTATGCTGTTCTTCAACTAATATCTGCTGTGTTTTTATTTAATTTTTCATTTTCATTTTTCTAGGTGCAACAAACAAACTGGAATTCAGATGATAAAAACTTCAATGAAGAGGATTTGGATCATGGTCCAGATGGTGATGCTAAGTTGGATTTTAAGAATAACCCGGACTCTCCAGATGATCCTCTAACAGAAGGACAAGAGAATGTTTGGGCCTTAATTCCTGAAGTAAGAAGGAAACTGCACCTTCATCAGAAAAAAGCTTTTGAGTTTCTGTGGCAAAATATTGCAGGATCTTTGGAACCAGATCTAATGGAAAAAAGTTCCAAGAAAACAGGTGGTTGTGTTATTTCTCACTCTCCTGGAGCTGGGAAAACTTTTCTGATCATAGCATTCCTTTCCAGTTACCTCAAGCTATTCCCCGGAACAAGACCATTGGTCCTTGCTCCAAAGACAACACTCTATACCTGGTACAAAGAATTTATCAAGTGGAAAATTCCTGTACCGGTTTATTTAATTCACGGTCGGAGAACCTACAGAGTGTTCAGGAAGAAATCCGTGGTCTTTCCAGGGGCCCCAATGCCGACAGATGATGTCAGGCATATATTGGATTGCCTAGAGAAAATACAGAAGTGGCATTCACATCCGAGTGTTCTTGTTATGGGATACACTTCGTTTCTCGCATTGATGCGAGAAAACTCCAAGTTTGCACACAGGAAATTCATGGCTAAAGTTTTGAGAGAAAGTCCAGGGATCTTGGTGCTAGATGAGGGGCATAACCCCAGAAGTACCAAATCAAGGCTGAGGAAGGTCTTGATGAAAGTCGAGACGGAGCTAAGAATATTGCTTTCTGGGACATTGTTTCAGAACAACTTCTGTGAATATTTCAATACCCTTTGTTTGGCAAGACCAAAGTTTATCAATGAGGTGTTGAAGGCATTAGATCCCAAGTACAAGAGGAAAAAGAAGAAACTGGCGGAGAAGGCACGCAATCTGATGGAAGCACGAGCGAGAAAGTTCTTCTTAGATACCATCGCGAGGAAGATCGATTCGAATGTAGGAAAGGAGAGGATGAAGGGCCTTAACATGTTGAGAAAGATTACCAATGGATTTATAGATGTGTATGAAAGTGGGGGCTCTGACTCACTTCCTGGCCTACAAATCTACACCTTGTTGATGAACTCGACGGATAAGCAGCATGATATTTTGGTAAAACTGCATCAGATAATGTCAACATACAATGGTTATCCCCTGGAACTAGAGCTTTTGATAACTCTAGGGTCAATTCATCCTTGGTTGGTCAAAACTTCCCTATGTGCTAACAAATTCTTCAGCGATGAAGAGCTAATGGAACTTGACAAGTACAAGTATGACTTGAAAAGAGGTTCCAAAGTGAAATTTGTTCTGAATCTTGTTTATCGTGTTGTCAAGACGGAGAAGATATTGATCTTTTGTCACAACATTGCGCCTGTTAGACTGTTCCAAGAGCTGTTTGAGCATGTCTTTGGTTGGCAAAGGGGTAGAGAAGTTTTAGCCCTCACGGGGGACCTTGAATTGTTTGAACGAGGAAGAGTGATGGATAAATTCGAGGAACCAGGAGGGGCCGCGAGGGTTTTGCTTGCTTCAATCACGGCTTGTGCTGAAGGAATTAGTCTAACAGCCGCGTCTCGGGTTATCATGTTGGACTCAGAGTGGAACCCTTCCAAGACCAAGCAGGCCATAGCAAGAGCTTTTAGGCCTGGTCAGCAAAAAGTGGTTTATGTGTACCAACTCCTGGCAACAGGCACACTTGAAGAAGACAAGTACCGAAGAACAACTTGGAAGGAATGGGTGTCAAGCATGATTTTCAGTGAGGCTTTTGTGGAGGACCCTTCTAGGTGGCAAGCGGAAAAGATAGAGGACGACATTCTGCGAGAGATCGTGGAGGAGGACCGGACTAAATCCTTCCACATGATCATGAAAAATGAGAAAGCTTCAACAGTGATCAGAGGTAAAGACTAACCTTATGACATGACACAAGTCGTGTTACAAAGTGTCTTACGTTTGGATTTCTCCGACTCTCACTCTCATTCTCTCTCTTATATATGCATGTCCTTAGTCTTGATCTCCATCCCTTTCTGAAACGTTTGGTAAGAGGACCGTTTTCTGGCTAATTTTCAAGCTGATTATTCATGTTCTTAAAAGGGTTATACGTGACTTTTGGACCTTTTTGGTATGACCATTATGATGATCAGCTGCAGTTATTTTATCAACAGTTCATATATGTCAAACTTGGTTGCTCTCTCTAAATATTGAGGAGTGTTCTGAACCTTGTATGAAAATTAGGACCAATGACAGTCATCGAGATTATCTGCTTGTTTGGTTCATAAGTTTGAACAGAAGTTCAAATTTTTATGAGAGAAAACACTGTAACAAAAAAGTTTGAGTTGTGGTTCAAATTGCGAACTTTTCTTTACCAATTGGTGTGAGTTATTCTTTGGCAAGGTGGCATGAGAACACCTTATCGAAGTAAAATGTTGATGAACCGTCTGATTTACATCAGATTATGAAAACACCTTACAATAGTAAATGTTTATTGTATGAAGAAACTAGGGATGATTTTGTTGTAAGAGGATTGAAACATCACCAATGGGAAACACAAAAGTTGTTGTACTTATTATTATTATTATTTTTTTCGTTGAGTTACCCTAGGTGCTAAATTTAAGTAAGATCAACTTCTGTTAATGGAAAATGCCCTGGAGAGATTTGGAACAGGTTTGTGTTATATTTTATCGATCAATTTCATACGTAGCTATGGCTGGCTGAGCAGATGAATTAAGAGTTATATAACTGTAGCGTAAGTAATGGTTCCTATGTTTTGTTTCGGACGTGTGAAATCTATAGGAATGCTTCTCAGTGAGAGAGCATAAATTTATATTTGAGAAAATTATATAGTATGACACTAATGCCTTGATTGGAATTGTTCTTTTTTTTATTTTTCACGTTTTTTGAGAAAGAAAAAATAAACGATTCTAAAACGGCGTTTGGCACAATTAAAGAAAAAAAAAACGAAAATGAAAATGATTTTTTAGTTTAGTGTAAAATTGGAGAGAAATGAAAAACGACTTTTAGTCGTTTTTCATTTTCTCCTCTCTCGAGCAGAGAGAGAGAGTGAGACATTAATAGGTTTTTTTTATACTGAAAACAATCTTTTGATAAAACTACCAAACGTATTTTTAAAAATGATTTTTGTCTGAGATTGAAAACGTTTTTATTTCTATTTTTATACAAAAAATAAAATTATTTTGGATTGAGTTCTAAACGCACCCTAACATTTAACAGCTTTATATTTATGTCAATCTAGTCTTTTGCTATATTTGTTAATATAAAAAATCAGGATATTTTTTGGTGAATTAAATGGCATAAATGTTAAAAGCTTTGTCATTGGTGGCATAAATATAAGGACAGTATTTTTTTTTTAGTAGCATTTTTGTATTTCTCCCTTTTCTTAAACGCTGTATAACATCTCTGCTTTCAAACTTTTCTCCTTAAAATCGTTATATATATATATTAATTTAAGAAGCACAAACTTCTCAAAACTAAAAGGTTCTTTTCTTCATAAAATACTTGTATTTGCAGTGTCCTTAAATATGTGCGTAAAACGTAAACAAATGCGTTGGATTATTCCATCAAAGATTTGTTGTGTTTAGCTTTCAAAGTCCATTTAATTGTGAAGGGCAATTATTCCATGGAGGGTACAACGTTTTCATATATTTGTTTTAAAGGTAAAGGAGACAAATAACGTTCTGGATTAATATTCTCTTTAGAATGTATGAGTCTAGATTTTTACTCATTATTTTGGATTAATATTTTTTTTAATCAAATAACTATATTAGTCACAAGGGTATTAATCAAGAGAAATGGATAAAAATTCATACTTATGCACTTTAAGAATAAATTCAATAATTTTATCTTATTTCGACGTAGAGCTCTTAAATGAGTTAGGCCAACCCATTTGCAGAGGAACACAACATCACAAGACATTAATATGTGGACGTTACTCGAGTGCATGAGTTTGGATTTTTACTCTTGATTAATACCCTCTTGGTTATTATAATTATTTGACTAAAAATGATATTAATCAAAAGTAATGAGTAGAAATTCAGACTTATATGCTCTAAGAGTTATTTGTCTCTTTTCCCCTTTAAACATATTAAAAAGGTGGCTTGACATGACAAGGAACATAACATGGTCAAATGGATCGTGTCAAGCCAATTAGTAAGGATTTTTGAATTGGCATGATATGAGATGAACATATAATTAATTATGCCAGACACATCATGATAAAATGATTATGCCTAGTTAAATAGTTGTAACAGGATAATACTGACAGCTCTATTTGGAAGTATGATTTTGTAAATTTTTCTCTTTTGTTTATTTTTTATTAATCGAAAGGGATTATAAGAATAAAGTGGTACCCTTTAATTCTAAGCCTCACAAAGTGAATTACTCAATTCACTCTAAAATTAAGACTCGTAACTGGAATCCAATATATATCTTGCTTATCGCCCTACTAACTGGTTGTGAATGTGTTAAAATGGAAGTTTGATGGCATTATGAAAATAGAATACAGCATCCTAATGAGGTTGTTTCTATATAAGTTGCAACGGAGAATAAACTGTCTCATATCCTAATAAAAAACTACAAAAAGTAAGAGAAGAAGATATTACTACTTTATACGCACACACAATAAATACTCAAATAATATAATTTTTTTCCCGATGAACATATGCATGCACAAATGTTATATGTGTGCATACATTACTTTTATGCATATCCGGTGGGCGATAATTTTATGAATAGTTTAGTGCAACTATACGAGAAACAGTGGATTGTAGTTGAAAACCAGAATATCACAGTCAAGTTGATAAAAGTATAATTAGCCTTAAAAAAAAAAAAAAAAAAAAAAACGAAAAAGAGGAAAGGACTCTTTAAAGACATGATATAAAGAAATGCTATTAAGTTTTAAATGAAGATGGCATTATGAAAATAGGATACAACATCTTGACGAAGTTGCTTTATGAGTTGATATGGATTATAAATTGTGCCTCCTATCCTAAAGTACAAACTTTTAGAGATTTAGAAGAAGATAATACCATTGGCATGTTACCACGGTGAGATTACCCGCTTCAAATACTGGAAACTTATTCAACATATTTGATATATTCACGCATCCTCCTTTATACCGTAAATTTTGGAGTTTGTTTCTCTGCCACCATGACCACATTAGCTAAAAATTTAACAATTAACACTCAGAAAGTTAAGTGAATGTCATCATATATATTCAAAGTAGAAGTCGCTATCCAATTAAATTAGAAGAATATATTAATATATATGCTTTTAAAATCTCCATGAAATCGCGATCTGTATTCATATATATGGGGATGGTCTAAAGAGTTCATAACTACTCCTCTTACTATAAGACGCTTATTAGCTAACATTTTGATCCGGCTCTAAAAGAGAAAAAAAAAAGAGATTGTATCATATTCGTAGTAGTCATAATAATCATTAATCATAATGAGATTCATAATAATCATAATAATAATAAGATTTATATAATGATAATAATATAACCGGTGTACACATATATACACGTATACGTATGTATATTGTGAGTATTATGTATACATATTACAAATTGATCTCAAATTATATATAGGGTTTTATTTATAATCTCTCAGAGAACAGTCAATTAAACGCAACATATAAACGTAAAAAATGTAATATGATAACATTAAATGTAACATATATATGTATATGTGTATATATATATATATATTTGCTGAATAATATTGACTCATTATATATTCTTGGATATGGATCGATACGAACACAATGAACATACATGCAAAAAAGTTTGTATATGTGCATGTATATTAATTTTATGCATATCTTGTGGGCTATAATTTTATTAATTATTTAATACAACTATGCGAGAAACAGTGGATTGTAGTTGAAAACCGGAATATCATAATCAAGTTGCGGAAAGTACAACTAGCCCAAAAAAAAAAGGGAAAGTACTCTTTAAGGACGAACCTGGACCATATAGATTATGAACTAACACGCATAAAATAAAAGATGTCGGTTTAAGCATGGATAAATTACTTGGAAGTAGGAATTCAAGATATATCTTCATGGAAACTTCTTCGAACCAACCACCATGATCAAGTTGCCAAACTGAAATATAAATTTGGGCTCCATCTTATCGTTAATTGGCCACATGATTCGAATTGACATTATATATTTGCAAATTGCACGATTATTTTAGCTATTTCAGAAACTACCACGATTTTTGTATTTGTTTTTGTTTTGTTCTCTTAAATTTTATCTGTTTTCATCAGCATAGACGATTTCTTTTGCTATTACTAGATGCAGTGTACCTTTAATTTGTCCTAATTATAAGACGTATTATGTCAGACAATTTTCGTCCAATATTATATAAAAATACACATACATACATATTATTATGCATGTACATATATATATATATGTGTGTGTATATATATGTATGTTTCGCGCATAAAATGTACAATATATAGTAGATGACTAGATGTAAGTGTGCAAATATTAGCTGGAATTTTGTTTTCAAATTAAATGAGAGAAACTTATAAACAGTCAGAAACGTCAAAAAAAGAGGAAGATGAGAATTGAGATCAATGTGAGACCTAACACCACGCATATATGGACTAAACACAAAGTTATAAGAAAATGGTTCAATTCCACCCTTTTTCATTTTTTTCCAAAAAGGAAAAAATATAGGTCGTCTAGGAAAGGTCATAAGCTGGGTCAAGTATGCTTGCTGATTTAACACGTTTGTTTCTTTCTTCAATTTGGTAATCGAGAAAATATATACTACTTGTTGGGGAGACATCGCATGTGAAACTGGCTTAATGCATTTTAGGAGTGGGACAATACATACATGCACATTTCTCAATAATCTCCCCCTCATGTATGTGTTCACTGAGCTCTCCCTCAAACTAAAGTTTCTAATAGCCAGCACATCTAAGCATCACACTCCAAACGTGAGCCAACTTGAGCATGAGAAAGAGAGCCGAAACTATGCGAGTCCACTAAATACTCCACCATCCACAGCTGCAACAACACCAACTGCGGAAACATGAACCGAGTGTGATTGCTTGGCATATACAAACTATGGGCTCTGATACCACTTGTTGGTGAGACACCACATGTGAAATTGGCCTAACGCATTTCAAGAGCACAACTTAACCCAAAAGGTTAACTTATTAGGTCTTCGGTCCTTCCATGTATATAAATCATCTCACATTCTCATCCACTTTCTATGTAGGACAACACACATATTTACATTTCTCAGCACTACTATTATATTTTAATTCATTATAATTTTCAGAGTTTTTTTTTTTGGTTAAAAAAAGCGTAAAATATTAATTTAGTATCATGTGGCACGTAATAATATGATTAGCGACCTTTGAAGATCGACAGAAAAAGCTTCAAGAATTAATTAAATATGTGCAAGTGTAATTTAATATTGAAGAGAAAGAAATGCACAGATATATGAGCTAGACGTATATCTTTCTTATTTAGCAAATAGCCTTCTTTTAATTGTACACTTGCAACAAATATTAGAAGAAAGATTTGTCATTATCCTTTTAGATTGAAGTTTACGCACGATCATACCTTTCTCACCTCTCGGCCTTCGGCAAAGATCAACAATA